TGAAGTTTTTACATGAATCAGACTCTGAGTTGTAGACCTTAAACAGTATTGTTTAATGTGAAGCATAGCAGGTATATACAAAGAAGAAGAATGTACTGATTATGCAGCCTCAGCCTTAGCTTCGATTCTCTTCTTCCTCAGCTGGAGCCTCCTCTCCCTCTCGTACTCCTTCATGCGCATCACGTAGCTGGAGGCAGACACAAGTTTGTAGTTAAAAGTCGACGTATCATGAGATTATGGTTCAATCTAAGGTTGAGGTTCTGCAACATGCTGCAACGCCAGGCTTTGACCTAAACTGCTTTCGGGAAATTCATTTAAACGTATGCCCACAGGTCAAAACACGGTCAACGTTGGGAGTACTGAGGGACAGCACAAAAAGTGAAAACTTGATTTGAAGCCAATGAAACAGATTAAGTGTGAGTTACTCCGTTTTATTGTTGCCATTCAGGGCTCCAGACTAACTTTTTCATTTGGTTGCACCTCTGACCTTGTCACAGGCAAAACATATGACTTGCTGAACATTTTCTTATCGTCGGACATTACAATTTACCGATGTTCCCTAAATGCCTCACACTGCAGGCTGCGGTGTGCTCAGACAGGTGTGTGACCGAAAATTACATTGAAAATAGGGCGTTCTAGTTCCACATTTGTCTAAGATGAAACGGAGGGACTTTTTTCTACATACAGTCTCGTCTATCAGCGCAAAAACTCTTAACGAGAAGACCACATTTTTAAGCGTAAATACCGCAGTACGCTGAAGTTATGAAGTCATACTTTCCACCACTGTGGTTAACACAGTAGCTGCTGGGTAGAGTGACACTAATACAGCTTAATGATCATCATGCACTGGCACCAATGTGACCAGTTGAAATTTTAACTTGCACACGGGAAAAAAAATCATTTTGGTTGCAGCCTTCTGAATCACAACATCTCATACACGTTTACTACATGTACAACAGACTACATGCTCACTAGCAGTCACTCGGCAGACAGCTCTACACCGTTAAAATACTGATTTTATAACCACGGCCTTGTCTGACAAACTCACCAGACGCACAAGTTAAAGACGAGTGCTGTGACTTTGGCTGTTTAAATGTAAAATGACCACTTGGAGAGAAAATCAGGAGTGACACGATATCTTACTCATTCACGTCTCTGTTAGCTCTGCCACTCACTGAACAGAGTAAAAGCAGCGATCTGGATGTGTGAACAGAGCCAGATCAAGTGCATTTAAAGCTAAAGAAAAAGCCTGTGTATATGGGAAGACGCGAGACCTGAATGAACTTGTTCAAAAGGGGCATATTGTGGGACCTTTAAGTGGGTCAGAACTATAAATACCAACCTAACATCATCTCTATATACTCTAAATACTTACTCCATGTGTTCACAATAGTCCCAGTCATGTCTCTCCTTCTTGCAGGCCAGGAAGTTAGGAAAGTTGTCCCTCTTACACTTCATGACTTTCATGAGGTAATGGGCACAGTAGTCCCTCTGCTCTAAAGGCAGCTGGGCCAAGTTCATCTGCTCCTGGGTCGCTATCATCTCTGGAAAATGGATACACATTTTCAGCCATCATCTTATTAAGTACCCTGATGAAAATATATGATGATGATAATAATAAAAGTTTGTTGTTTGAGTCCTGATCAGAGAAGAAGCTCTGGATATTCATCATAATACACACTAACCAAAGAATTACATTTTTTGGGTGCTATAACTAATCTACACAAATTATTTTTTCTAGCTCAATGCACACTGGTTTGATTATAATTAGCTCATTAAAAAAAACATATTTCGAGTATTAAGTCAATAACAGATGTTGCATTTAAGTGGACTGTATCTTTACTATTAAAAAATTCAGCATAAGAGACTATTATAGGTTACTGGCCAACCAAACATCTTTGGTGCCACCTGGCAGTATATCTATAAGGAGTATTTGTCAAAATACAAACGTGCCACAGAATCGTTGTTTTTGTATGTGAGGCAAAATTTTTAAATTAATTTCTGCCTAAACGTATAAAATCCTTAGGCATGACATTTGAATAGGAGGTTTAATTTCACACACAAATTGGATTTGGATGCGCAGCTTTCCATTCAGCAGTTAGAGGAGAAGTTAAGGGAAATTTAACTTACAGCACTAAGCGACAGATTCTGTTTTTTTCTACCCACATTTTAATAAAGTAAAACTGTGTTAGACATTTTAGGTGAACTCTTAATGCAGTCTGAAACTTGAAATTTGTGAAACCTTTATTCTATTTGGGAAAATGCAAAAAGGGGATTTTTTTTCACTGCTTTTTTTTCATGTAGACCACATTAAACCAGGTCCAGATCTAAAATCACTACTGGTAGACTGGTCAGCTGGTCTGCATTAGATCGTACAACACAGACAAAAAGAGTGATTTGTAAAAAGTCAAAATAGGGGGATTTAACTTTGTTTTTTGCATATAGACCCCTGTAAACCAAGTCTAGATCAAAAACTACTGTACATTGGCTGGTAAAATCTGGACTAGATTGTCCTACAGAGGCCAAAGATGCTCTAAAATACAGTCTACTATTTGTAAAAGCTTTATTTTACTCAGGAAATGCAAAACTGGGAGGCTTCACTGCTTCTGTTGCATGTAGACAAAAAGGTCCACATCAAAAACTACTATATATATAACCTCCCTTGTTTTTGCATTTTCACAAATAAAATAAAGCGTCCACAAACTCTCTTACCGTTGTGGGACAATTTAGTGCAGATTTAACCAGTCTATATCTATTGTTTATAGACTGGTTAAATCTGCACTAAATTGTCCCACAACGGTAAGAGAGTTTGTGGACGCTTTATTTTAGATCTGGACCTGGTCTAATGTGGCTTATATACAAAAGAAGCAGTGAAATCTAATTATTTTGCATTATTACAAGTAGAATAAAGGCTTCACAAATCAAAGACTGTTTTAAAATCTCTTTAGGCTCTTAAGGAAAATCTAGTCACCATTCCACATATAATGATTTTAGATCTAGACCTGATCTAAGGTTGCTTCCATGCAAAAACATAAAAATAAAAATCTGTGACATCTCTATTCTCTGGGAATCTGTTAAGCAACATATCAGATGCTAGTTACAGCGCCGTAATCTCGTATCAGATATATTATGATTGGCTATGATTAGCTTGTGAAAACATGAACATAGTCCTGATCAGTTCTCCAGTGTCACTCTGCCAGGGCCAGACCTACTTCAATGTTATATTACCTCGACTTTGTATGTAAGAATTAATAGGAGGCCACAGTTTAAATTTGCAGTTTAAGGTAAAAACACACCAAGCACAGTTTGACTTGACAGCAGACCCTTCAAACAGCCGTTAGCTTCTAAGCTAACAGCGTCCCTTTAGCACAAAGCTAACGTCAGCTAACGAGCTAAACTAGCATAAAATCGCATAAAACCACTGCAGGACTTATTTTTAAGAAACCTGGTGAATATGGACCAACCTCTTTCTTTCCTGTTTTCCCAACCGTACATAGGGTCGAACTCGAATTTCCTGCCTGGGTCGGGCTCGGTGTCCCTCTCGGTGACATACCGTCTGGCCAGGTGAGCTCCCATGGCGAAGGCGAGGTTTGGACACTGTGGGTTAAAATAACAATGAATATTCTGTTTTGCTTTTATTCCCTGCTAAACTAATATCTGCAAAATTATTCTATCTGCCATTCGGTCACCTCCACAAGACCGCTGCTCTCTCTTCCGGTGGTCCCCGGAGATAAACAGCCGAGCGGTACGTCCGAGAAACACTTCCGTCTGCATAGACAACAAAGGTTCCGTTTGCAAGTGGCAGAGTTGCAATGAAATTACTATTATTTTTGCAAATATGACAAAATTGCATTTAGTGATTTAACCCCCTGACATTTTAATTATCATATGTCCACACTAGGGACTAAATTACAACAAAAAATGGTTTCTTCTACAAAAACAAATCATGCACAGTGAAGAAAAAAACATTTTTGATGCAACTTTTCTATCAGTGCTGGATTATTGTGGCATTTTTACACATGCATGCATCTCTGTTAAGCCTTTGAAAACTGTTTTTACTCTGCAGTAAAATATATTGCTGGTTGGACAGTCTTTCTATAAGGTGGTCAGACACTGGATTTAGTTAATAAAAAAAACTCTTAGAGTTTTCATTTCACTCTTACATTGTACTATCACTGTGCTTTAACACGGGCCCTTTTGTCATACGAGCCCAACGGGTTGGATCACAGGTATCGGCAGTGTTTACTGACCACACAACCTGGAATAACCGCCAGAAAAATGTAAAGCTTGACTCGCTTTTATCTTTTTATTAATTCAGGCTCTTAACTTAGTTTAATTTGACTTGAAGCTGCTCATGTTTCAACTGTAATGCTCAAATTAGTATTTTTATCATTTTAATAACTGTCTGTTAATATTTTGTTGTTATCCGAGTTTTCTTTTTGTGTGCCAACATCTTTAATTTTCCTACTGGGCTGATGCTTTTATTGTTTTTGGGGTTTTTTTTTAGTTTTTTTTTTTTTTTTTTTTTTTTTTTACTTTTTAAAACTATTTAGGACTTTTGGGGTCTTTTGGACCCCAGGCCATTTGATTTAGGTGACATATATTGTTTTTTTTTTTTTATTTTTAAGATCTTTTTATAAATACAAAAAGAGGGATATTTTTCATGCATTTGGAACCAAAAATACATACTTGTCAGAAAATGTATTTAACGTAGTATAAAAGTCTATAATGAATACCAACAAATATTTTGTACGTATTCTTTCTTGGGGTCCAATGGACCCTGAAAGACCTTCTACATATGGCGACATGAAAGTCCTGAATAGGGTTAATATTCTTTTGATCCAAGTTTCTCATTTGTGGGTCTACATTTGTTTTATTTTCTTATTAAGTTACACTGTAAATGAGAGTTAAAATAAAGGTTCAATGAAAGAACTGACGAATATTATATATAATTATTATTTACAGTACTCCTCAAATTCATTCATACCCTTCAACTAAAGAAAAGGCAAAATTCACAATAGTCACTCAAATAACTAGAAACTGAAAAAAGCAATAATAAATAAAAATTTGCTAAATTATATTTTTGTGAAATAAGACATTGCTTTTGAATTGTGGTTAAAAAAAATAAAAACAAAAAAAACTGTCCCAGACAAATTAGAGCACTTTGCTGATGAGCAGTGGGCCAAAATCTAAATACCTGTCAGCAGGTGCAGAAGTCTGACTGAGAGTTACAGAAAACACTTGACTGCAGTGATTGGCTCAAAGGGTAGTTCAAGAAAGTATTAGTTTACGGGTCCCATCATGCTTGTATATATATATATATTTCTGTTGAACCACAATTCAAAAGCAATGTCATGATTGTCTTTTTTTTTTTTTCTAATTATTAACTTTTTCAATTTCAAATTATTTCAGTGACAGCTGTTTTTTTCCTTCTGTAATGGGAGGGTATGAATACATTTGAGGATGACTGTAAGTGTCCCACTATAATCTGTTCTACCCTTGGCAATTTTAAGTCAAATATCCTTTTCCCTCTCTTCTCTTCCCTCACCCCAGCTGGTGGAGGCAGATGTCCTGGCTGCTGCCTCAGCTTGGTTCTGCTGGAGGTTTCTTTTAGTACAGAAGGAGTTCTTCGTCTCCACTGTTGCCATGTGCAACAAGAATTATGGGATAATAGTGTAACATGTAAATAGCAGTGGCTTGACTTGACAGCATAATAGTGAACAAATACAAGGACTCTGAGACATGATCATATTTATTATATACACGTGTGCTTTTGCCACTGTAACTTGTGGAGAAAAAAAAATCTATGACCACAAATTTGGCCTACAGCAAACCAGGGAGCAAACATTCCTGTTAAAGTACTGTATACTAGTGATTGTGAGTGTTTTCACAATGCTCATTCTGCCCAAGCTCTATAAGTAGTCTATTGCTAATTGGACTTTCAAATAATACTTTATCATAAATACAGCATTCAGTACTCATGTCATCATAAAGACATATACATATATATTGTTTTTAAGTCATACATGCACACTGCTTACATATTTTTTCTACAAACCAAAGCTTTAATGGTACAAGTGCGTCACATGTATTTATCTCAAATGCTTAAAGTGTATTAGTTTTTACACCAGAAGAGATTTTTTTTTTTCATTTGATTCGTTTCATTCATTCTATTACATGTTTCAACAGGTGCTTTCCTTAAAAAAAGATTTATGTTTACTGTTATTGCCCTCCATTTTCCTTTTATACTGCCATTTCCACTAATATTCATCTGTTTCCATTCCTCCAAAGAAGTCACTAATAGAGATCATCATCGCCGTCCTCTCTGAACAGACCCGGCCTCCCAGACCCGGAGCCTGACCCCTGATTCCCAGACCGGGTGCCAGTAGCAGAGGGAAACCTATGTGAAAAAAATAATATAAAGAGATCCTATCAGGGTGCGATAAAAACTAAGCTAACTTGTCTATTACTACATTTTCTTTATGAAGCTTCTGTATATGTGCGTATACCTGAAGTTGCCAAATCCTCGACTCTGCTGCAAAGTTTGAGCAAACATCTCGTATTTGCGGATGTCATTGTCGCTGACGGAGCGACGAGCAAATCGCATTGCCTCCTCGAAGTGGTCCCTCCTGATCTCCGGGACCGGATCAAAGTCTTCATCCTACAGACAAAATAAAAACAAAACATGAGGAACACATATAGAAATATACACTGTATGTTTGTGTGTTCCCAGTCCAAAGGCTGAGAGTTACAAAACACACAGCCGCCCTTTAGGGAACATTTCCTCTTCCACAATCTCGTTCTGCACCAAGCACACACAGCTTGGAGCTACTCTGAGATGTGACTTTGTGTAATAATGAGAAAAGAAGTCTTAGAGAAACAATCAGCATCCTCTTGTTTAATACAAGATAACATGGTGTGAATGAGTAAGAAGGGAGAGCAGCAGCATCAGCTGACCATGGGGATGCCTGGTCTGTTCTGCCGCTGTCGCTCGGCCTTAATCTCAGCCTCGATGGACTCCCGGATGGCGAGTTTACAGGCCCGCTGACAGATCTCCGTCAGGTCGGCTCCGGAGAAGCCATCTGTGATGCCAGACAGGTATTCCAGATCCACATCCTACAGACAGGAAGAGCAAAAGAAAAGAGCAAGAAACTAAAACACTGAATCAACAAATTAATATGATTTGCCGATAATCTTTGTGTGCCTGTGTCCATAGTTCAAAACATGAAAGAAAGATATCATGTTTGGTCTAATACTTACTTTCCCAGTTGATTATTTGGACTTCAGCATTAAAAATGAAATAAAATATTCATCACAATTTCTTGTTTTGTGCAAGCAACAGTCTAAAGCCCAAAGATTTGCATTTTGCCGTCAATTAAGACCAAAGACTCTCAAATCTTTTCTGACACTTCCCACCTTCAGAGGGCCGGAAAAAGCTCATGCTCCCCACAACACAGTCTTTACCAAATGATATCAATAATAGGCAATACGGCAACAGTTTTTTAAAAAAAATTAAAAATCCAGGTTAAAGTGTAGTGACATGGAGATCAGAATGACTGCATCAGAAAACACTTGACATTAAAGGAAGAACCTCCAGAATGATCAACAGCTTCATTCCACAAGCTGTCAGAATGCTGAACTGGTGATCTAAATATGTAAACACTTGTTTATTTAAATTGCTTTAAGTTATTAGATCCTGAAGAAACGCTCTTTTATCTTGCCTGTACGACTATGTATGTACAGCAAAATCACAGTAAACTTGATTTGATTTGTCTGTTTGTTTGCCTTATAGAAATCATCTTCATTCAACTCAGTTTCATTCACTGACCAGGAGGCTAAAGTGAGAAACTATTAATTCAAGTACTATAAGGGTCATTTTCAAAGAGCTGAGGTTACACAACCTGATGCGTCACAGTTTTCAGGTAAAGCCACTTCACTTGTCTGTTTTAAGACGTCATGATGTTTACTCTGCCACACTTATCTGCTGAATGTAGCTATTATTTATTTGCATCACAAGATTTGAATGCAAACAAACAAAAAATAATAAAGTACACTAATTAAAAAAGACGCTCTGTCAGAGTTTAAATAAGTCAACAGTCGGAAGTAGATCAATCAGCTATCGTGCAGAAATTATCTGAACAATTTAACATTTCAAGTATGGACAGTGAATGCATGCAAAACTTTAGTTATCTCACAAATTTTAGTGTTTGTGCCCTTAAATGCATAAATGAAGAAGAGGGATATATAAAGAAATCTTTGAATGTCACTGACTCGTGCAACAGGGGACTTGCGTAGGTTGGCGTTCAGAATTGCTGTGCGAGACGGTTTGTCCGGCAGTGGGATGTAGATGAGCTGGTCCAGGCGACCCGGCCGCAGGATGGCTGCGTCTATGATGTCTGGTCTGGGCAGAGCAGGGAAGAAGGTGAGGCGAAGAGAAATCTGTAAAGATTCTTATCCAGTATCCACTCCTCAATACAGAGTGTTTAAAAAAAACAAAACAAAAGTGAGCACCTGTTTGTGGCACCAATAATGAAAACATTCTTCTTGTCCGACATGCCGTCCATCTCTGTGAGGATCTGGTTGATAACCCTGTCGGCGGCGCCACCTGCGTCTCCCGCCCCACCGCCTCTGGATTTGGCGATGGAGTCCAACTCATCGAAAAACAGGATGCAGGGGGCCGCCTGTCTGGCCTGTGGGCAGATGGAAGCGGTCAGGAGGTCAGCGCTGAGCATGAGCATCCATCGAGAAGATACGAGTCACTGCTTCAGAGGTCGTCAGT